TTTGATAATAGTAATGATATGCAAATTGCCAATGGATGAAGGTTTATTTTGTTAAGATTGTGTGAAATTAATAAGAAAAAAGAAGTTTAGAATAATCATTAACTAACGGTTTGACCAAATAAAAATCATTAACTAATTGAATTAATGATAAATTTTGTAGATATCATTTGTGCTATAATTGCTAGATTGATATTTGAATATGAATATTTTTTATGTGAAAATAAGAAATTTATGTGATCTAGAATGTTTATTCGCATGATTTTAACAAACAAATATTTAATTATTGATTTAGTTAAATTTTATTTATATTTAAAAACTATATAATTTTTTAAAATTTTATGATATGATCAGTTATGTATATATACTATGTAGAATTTGATTAGTTGATTATTTCATATGCTAACATATTTTTTTATCTTTTTTTATTTTTCTAAAAAAAGTTATCTTTGTTATTTTAGATATGATGATTTTATTTTATTAGATTTCATTCTATATAAATTATTAATTTCGAAATTCTATTAACATATTAAATTAATAATAAATATGTTTATGTATATTCAAAATATATTTGTTTACATATATTTAGTTTTGAATTTAATTGTCCACTTTTTATGGTAAAATATTATTTTGATTTCCATAAATATAGATTGTTTTTGTTTTTGTTTTTGTTTTTTTTTTGCTGTCATAAATTGTGTTTGGCAACTGGTTTTATTTTCATGAAATGTTTTTTTTAAAATTAGGGGGTGTTTGGCTTAAAGTTGTTCTTCCCAATATATGTTATGGTATTATTGGGCCATATAGATTGGTAATAATAACAGCTATGAGCTAACAAAGAATGCTTCTAAAAGGCGTGGCGTTGGAATGAATGATCATTATGATGTTTCCATTAGCCCGATCACTTTTAATTATTTTCTACTACTCTGTAACACAACATATATTCCACCTTTTCCACACACATACATCGTTTCAACTGTCCTTTAGTTTTTTCTTTTTTAATAGTTTTGGGTCCATTTTTACGAAGATAAGTAAATTGCATATTTTTTAATGATTAAAATTGTAAAGATATTCTGTATATTATCATTACAAGTATCACCGTTTTCTTGACATTCCTATAAGATATGTCACCTAATATTATGAATGATACATTAACAAATCCATAATATCTATTTTATAATAATTTATAGCCAAAACAAAACAAAGGGGCCAAATTGAAATAATGGAAAACTATTGTACCCAAACGTTATTTTAGAAAAAAGCAAAGTCGTCGTGTGGGAAAAGTAAACGCGACACGTATGGCCACCTGGTTAATAACACGTAGGTTCTCTTTGCTTCGGAATGCACAGCACAGATGCAAATATAGATAGATATTTATGACCTTGTTTTTTTTTTTTTTTTTTTATATCAGAAACTATTAAAACCCCTTAAAACGAAAGCATAATAAGATTTGTCAGTTATTATTAAGAAATAATCATAATCAATGTTACCACTACCAGTAAATAGATTTCACTCTAGAAAAGCATTAGCTAAAGTTTATTCTTCTTTTTACTACTGCCACATTATTAAATAAATAAACAATGGGCGAAACATCTAAAAGTTTGTTTTACAAAAATAAAAAAACCTATAATATTAAGGGTGGTTAACTTATAACATTAAAATACAGCATTCCGCAGAATGCACATAGTTAAGGATGGTGGGCGTTATTAATGAAGATAAATCAAGAACCATATATACAAATGCACTAGAAGCCTGAAACTGAAGAAAAAGAAAAAAAAATCAAAACAATGAGACCTAACTGAAAAGAAACAAAACAAAATTGGCCAAGTCGAAGTCGTGAGAGATTAATGGGGACGGATATGGGTACGTGGCAGTATTTTATAGGTTAAATAAACGACCAGCCCGTGGTATTTTAAGATCCAGTTGACGATAATGAACCCAGACAACAATCCGTCTAGGTTCCTTCTTCTTCTTCCACAATATAACTGTATTCCTCCTCATCACACCTCCCCCTAGAGAGAGAGAGAAAAAAGTAGGTTTCTCCATTTAGAATTCCGATAGAAAGAGATAAACAAACAGAGGTTTTGTGATGATGATGACGATGATCCAGAGGAGAGGAGGAGAGAGATACGACTCGTCAGCGGCATACAACGTTGTCCATAAGCTGCCTCACGGAGACAGTCCTTATGTCCGAGCCAAACATGTTCAGGTAAAGAAAGAACAGAACACACGAAGCGTTCTGTTATTTATAATTATATTTGTTCTGGCTGAGGAAACTTAGTTTTAGATTTTTGGATTGATATTTTTTGTATTGGTTTCTTCAGTTAGTGGAGAAAGATGCAGAAGCAGCGATAGAGTTGTTCTGGAGAGCGATTAAAGCGAGAGATAGAGTTGATAGTGCTCTTAAAGACATGGCTCTGTTGATGAAACAACAGAACAGAGCTGATGAAGCCATTGAAGCTATTCATTCCTTTAGAGATCTTTGTTCAAGGCAAGCTCAAGAATCACTAGACAATGTCCTCATCGATCTTTACAAGGTCTAAACTAATCTCCTTAATTCTCTTGTATAATTTCGCTCTCTTCTTCTTAGTTTTTTTTTTTTTCTGAGATTGTGAAATTGACAATATTTGGGATTCCGATATACTGAACAGAAATGTGGGAGGATAGAAGAGCAAGTTGAGTTATTGAAGCAAAAGCTTTGGATGATATATCAAGGAGAAGCATTCAATGGCAAACCAACTAAGACTGCTAGATCTCATGGCAAGAAATTTCAGGTCACGGTCGAGAAAGAAACCTCTAGGATCTTGGTAAGATTTATTTCATCAGTTTTTTTTTTTTTTTTTTTTGATTAGATTTCTAAACTCTCTTTCTTGATCAATTAACTTATGAGGATGAATGAAATGTGATGTTGTTTTAGGGAAATTTGGGATGGGCTTATATGCAGCTAAGGGACTATACAGCGGCTGAAACCGTGTACCGGAAAGCTCAAGTGATAGAGCCAGATGCAAACAAGGCTTGTAATTTATGCACATGTCTCATCAAGCAAAGGAAGTACGATGAGGCGAGGTCGATTCTCTCTCGTCATGTACTCACAGAGAAAAATGAAGGGTTTGCTGATCCGAGGTTGAAGGCTCGGGTTCAAGAGCTATTGAGTGAGCTAGAGCCACAGGAGGAAGACGCACCTGTTTTTGCTTCTGTGTCTGTGGAATCTGATGTTGGTATGGATGAGATTGCGGTTGTCGAAGGGCTTGATGACTTTGTGAAGGAATGGAGGAGGCCTTATAGGACAAGAAGACTTCCGATTTTTGAAGAAATATTACCACTGAGAGATCAATTGGCTTGTTGATTATTCTCTATGTGTTTTGGATTGACTTGGATACTGAATAGGAACTTTTTGGTTAGATGAATGTATTAGATAGAGTTTACTTCTTGTAAGCTTGTTTTGGGTGTCGTTGTCTGTTACCCCTGTAACGTCAAAATAGAATCTCATTCCATAGTTGATGTTATATCTGTATATTAGAACGTTATCAGACCATGAGTCAATTTAGTTGGAGGAATATAAAATCGATCTGTAGACATGTAAAATACAAAGTATAAAGGCCTAACCTATGTAATAAGTAAAAGAAAAGAAAGGCTTTCAATCTCTCTTACAAACAAATGAATTCCTAAAGATCATTCTTGGTTACGGAGTCACATTTTTATGCCTAAGAGTAGGAAAATACAAAGAGAACGAGAAGAGGGAATAACTATACTGGGAGGATCTCTAATCAGCTTAGTAGCAATGTTGGTCTGATACATCCATCTGGGTGGTTGAGTTTAAGTGCACTTGAAGCCCGGGCAAACCGACAAAACGATGATGAGAATCAAAGCAACGACGATACCAAAGACTATGAGCTTTATCTTCATGTTTTCAAACCACAACTTTCTTTTCATCTTTGTTCCTTGTGTTCTAAAATCTTGTGCCTTTTAACACATTCAGAAAAAAAAATGAAGAGCATGTTACCACTTGATAAGAGGGAGTGAATAGTGATGTTGTCTTTATGCTGTATTTATGTTGTATTGGACGTGTGGTTACTAACCTGTGAGCGAAGGTTCTCAGTTTTGTCTACTAATAACTCGATTTTCTCACCACGGTCAAGGACCTGCCATGGGAATGAATTGCAGACAACACATTCAGCTTAAATGTGAGGAGTTTCCAAAATAAACATGGATAAGTGATGATTCTAACCTTCTCAATGTTCTCCATCATAACACCCTTCACTTCAGTCACTTGAGCCTTAACCTTGGACAATTTGCTAATCTCCTCAGGATGATCCGCACAGTACTGCATGTGCTCCTTCAGTTTAGACCTGAATTAACAACAAAACCAGTTAAAAACACATCCACAAAGATGGAGTTGGAGTATTATGTTGAATTTAATGTCAAAACTCAGAAGGTACCCGAATTCTTTGTTCAAGCTGTTGGCTTTAGCAGTGGAAGCTTTCCCACCACCATATCTCTTGCTAAAATCCTCCTTGACCCGCTCCAAGAAAGCCATTGGTATCTGCCTCCCAGCAGATTCGACAACAACAACACAATAGGCTGCATAACAACACAGATAATGAAATATCTCTTACAGTACCACATCCCATCTAATGCATAAACGTGGTGCATTAAATTCTTAAAACAGAACAGAACATCAAAAGGTTTCCAAACAGCATAACTAATGACCCTGCAAAGATTACACCAACCAAGACATGCATGGAAATATAACCCAATCCATGATTCTAAATATGATGAATCAGAGCATAAGGATTAACATAATAACATATGTAAACAATTCCATAAGAATCGAGTGCAACCAAAGATATACTGCTCTGGAACATGTAGATCGAAAACAAAACCAATCGAGGCAAAATCAAACGTGTTTGGGATCGGGAGGGAGAGACATACTGAAGCCATTGTCAGCGAGGTAATTGAAAGTGTGACCATCGCAATTGTAGGTAAACTTATTGTTGGAGGACGGAAGCTTCTGTAGGCACTGAGCGGCGACGGAGGTAAAATTACCTTTGAACTCGGTATATTCGGCGAGGATCACCGTACCACGAGCGACGAAGCTGTAGATCAACGATTGTTGTCCCATTCTTTCTTTTTATGTAAATGATAACAAAAAAGAAAGAAAAGAAAGAACAACAACAAAAAAAGAACACTAACAACACCACGAATCCGATCAGAGAGATTAGTAAGGAAGGAACGAGGGGTAGCGATGGAGAGAGCAGGACGCAGAGATCGGAGATGAGAAAACAAAATTATGAGAACGCTGGATTTGCGCTACTAAACAGAGTCAGAGACATTATTATTTTTTCCTTTTTCCTAACGTTCAAAATTCAAAATTTAAATTTAAAAAGGTAATAATATTCATCTTTCGTATTATTTGTTGTAGTCTTTTATTTTAAACACTTTATTCTGTGGTGACAAAATTATATCTCATTTCTACAGTGTACATATAAAATTATTCAATGAACTTTAAAAAAGAATTAAGAAAAATTACAGTATAAGGGATGTTTGAATTGTTGACTAGTTACTTCTTTTGGGGTTGCAAGTTAGTATATTTATAAAAATAATTATGTTACTTAAAGAATGTTCAATGTATAATGTTGCAACAACATAACCCTTACTTGCATTCCAATTCACCGACCTTCTAAGTTTCTAACCACAACCTAACTACCAGTGTTTTAAATTATTTGATATTGAGTTTGATTGTTGATCAAAATATTTAGGAACACGTTAAACAAAAATAATAAGCGTTTTCTAAATAATGCGGATATGTTATAGTTTATAGAAAACAAGAATATCACATGGTAGAAGTTATAATTCATCAATGGCTAAATAGGTCTACCTTTTATTTTAAGAATTAAGCAAGCTCAGTTATAGTTATTTGAATTAGAAAATCTCCTTTGGTTTCTTTATGCTTTATCCTTCATCCTCTATAGGTCTACAAGTAACAAAACCATATTTGTTTATCAGTTAAACCTTTTGTTCAAATCTGTAAGTGAGCTAAGACTGGGATCAATGATAAATTTGGAAAGAGAGGAGATATTTTGAAGAAGACAGAGACAGACTCTGTGTGTTCCCCCTTCGACCATGGGACCTGAACATGTCCTAGAATTGCTACTTTACTTACTAATTTGCCATTCGCAGAGTCCACGAGCTTTTTGGCTCGATCCGTGGCATTTAAGATGGGTCCAAATTTAATTTTTCTCGAGATTTGATCTCTCAGTTTCGAAATTATCTTTTAGTCCTTAAATTTCTAGGTTTTTATATAGAGTTCTTTTACCCAACCTGATTAATGTAAATGACTACTTTACCCTTGGCTCCTTTACTACTTTTTTGTTTTCTTCACCTTTGTCCACTTTAGTCCTCGTTTTGTTGTTGATAGTCTTCTAGATCTGTAGTTTTTTTCGCGACCGCCCATAAAAAGATTTTCTCTGATCGGACGGTCGATTGGATCGGAGATTTAGGGAAAAAAAATAATGGCGCAACAATCGCTGATCTACAGTTTCGTTGCTCGCGGCACGGTGATCCTCGTCGAGTTCACTGATTTCAAAGGCAATTTCACCTCAATCGCTGCTCAGTGCCTCCAGAAGCTTCCGTCTTCCAACAACAAGTTCACCTACAACTGCGACGGCCACACCTTCAACTACCTTGTCGAAGATGGATTCAGTAAGTCAGCTTTTTGTTTGATCTATGCACACGCGTTGATGTCTTCTTAATCTTACATCACTCCGTGCTTGCCTCGATTTCTGTCTAGGTTTATTTGCGTGTATCTGCCTAATGTATGCACGGTTTATCTATAGATTCGTGTGGATTTTTGCATTCTGTGTATCTGATTTCTCTCGGAAATCCCCTGAACAAAGCTTTTAGGGTTAGATCTCTCTATTCATTGTATAGATCTTTGTATTGTGAACTTACGTTTTTACTCAGTTTTTGATGAAATCTGTGGTAGCTTTGGTTGATACTATGTGGAAGAACACCAACATTGGCCTATACTAGAGGTTTTACTGGTTGCTCGATTAGCGCAACTTATTTGCTTGTTGGTTCTTAGGTCATGAGTCTTTACTGCTTCATTTTCAATGAGTGTGGGGGTGTTACTTAAAAAATTTGTGACTATCTTTTCGTTGTAGCCATATCAATTCCATATTAAATCACCTGATTATTGCAGTGAGGAATGACTTCTTTTGTACCCGCTATATGAGATTGATTCTGTTCTTGTTGTGCAGCCTATTGTGTTGTTGCGGTTGATTCTGCTGGGAGGCAGATTCCGATGGCCTTTCTGGAAAGAGTAAAAGAAGATTTTAACAAGAGATATGGTGGTGGAAAGGCTGCAACTGCTCAAGCAAACAGCTTGAATAAAGAGTTTGGGTACTTTTTCTTTTGATCTAATCTATTTCTATCAATGATTTTCTCTACCGGGCTGATTCCTTTTGGTTACAATGAAGCTCTAAGCTGAAAGAGCATATGCAGTATTGCATGGATCATCCCGATGAGATTAGCAAGCTTGCTAAGGTGAAGGCACAAGTGTCAGAAGTTAAGGGTGTAATGATGGAAAACATCGAGAAGGTGTGAATCTGATCTTTTCCTATATTTATATCTATGTTCTCATCTGAAAGAGCCCATCTAGTAATACTAAGTTATTCAATGCATCACAACTTGAATAAAAAGGCCGGTTTACCAGTTGAACTTGTTCATTTGCTTGCAGGTTCTTGACCGTGGCGAGAAAATTGAGCTTTTGGTGGACAAAACTGAAAATCTTCGCTCACAGGTTAGACTCTCATGCGATTATCTCCTGCATACATATATATGATTACACCCACACAGAGAGTCGAACATGCATATCAAACTATCTTTGAGTTCATAACTGGTTCATCCTTTTATCATATCTTGTATTTGATTAAACTCCCAACTGCTGCAGGCACAAGATTTCAGAACAACGGGAACGCAGATGAGAAGAAAGATGTGGCTTCAGAACATGAAGATAAAACTCATTGTTCTTGCCATTATCGTCGCGCTGATTCTCATCATCGTGCTCTCAGTTTGCCATGGCTTTAAGTGTTAAGCCCAGAATATGCAAAACCTCTGAGATGTTTCTCACTCGGTACATCGTACTGCTTTCTCTTTTATTGTTCGATCCTCATTCTAATGTTTCTGCTTGAATTGGTTTTGTATAGATAGACATATATGTATGCTACTCATTTGCTATATTGCTTGCATCTGATGACGTTGATCCCTTGCGAACCAGTCAGTATTTTGACAAGAGATCCAAAAGTATTAAATGATTTTGTTGACTGAAGATTGCTTATGGTGATGATAATATTGAACTGATATTGACAATTATGATGATATTGACGACACGTCGTGATGTGAGGTGGTAACTTCAAATTGATATGAGTAGCGTAGTCATAGTGCACTCTCTATATCGTTAGTCGAGATAGGGTAGTTATTTGTAGTTTAAATCATACCTTTTTACGATCTCCCGACCACCTCTGAGGTTGTTTGTCCAAAACAATCGTCCATATAGTATAGAACGCTCGAGTATCTTTAAAGCCGTTGGGTCGTTTACTAATTATTTGCATCACCAGGAACAACTAGCCCAATAGAAACTCCCTCGTATTACATTACATACAGAAGCAACCAAATATCAAAAGTCAAAACTACTGTATATAATGGTACAATCATTATATATGGGCTAAATTAGAGAAACGGGCCGAGTATTTAATGGGCCGAAAACATAATTTAAGATTCTGCTGCCACAGCTTTCCCGCTAAAACTGCTGATGATTCCCGCTCAACCTCGCACCAGATTCCGAATTTCACTAATGTCGAAGGAGTACCAATCCCAACAAAATTAAAATTCCGATCATATCTGAGGATGGAATTCGATATCCCATTGCCGGAGGAACTTGAGCTTCTCGAAGCCAACTCTCATTTCTATGAAGAAGAAGAAGACGATGACTACCTAAACTTCGAGGAGCCGCCGTATCCTTACCCAATCGAGGGCGATGAAGAAAAAGAAGAAGAACCCGTCGCGCAGAAGGAGCCTCATGTCCGTCAACCGGACTCTATTGATATCAACGGTTGTAAACGTCCCAGGAGTCTAATCTCTGATCCGATTGTCAATCTCGACGAAGTCTCTCCAGCTTCTGACAAGAGAAGCAAAGTTGATAATAACCGGGTTGAAATTGAAGATGAGGATTGGTTACGGTTCTCGCCGGTTAAGGAAGCCGTTCACGTTATGGAGGAGGAGGAAGAAGAAGAGGTCATTCCCAAGGAGGTTATTTTGTCCAGGTTACTCTACTGTTCATGAGACATATCGACTTGCAAATTTAGATTTCACTTATAGTAATCTTGTTATTGGAATTCGCAGATACGCTTCTGAGATAGACGGGGAGTGCTTTCCGATCACGGCACCTGACGGAGGAGAGAGGGTTTATGCGAAATTCTGCCGGGCATTGGGAGACGAAGAAGTGAAGAAATTGGATGTGAAAGCCAAGTCTAATGGTACCAACTACTAAGCTTTCGTTAAAGCTATCAGAATTGTTGTATTAGATCTGTGTACTATCTATTTCTAGCTTCAAGTACTCTTTTCTTGAATTGGCATTCAATCTTCTGAAAATAACTCCAATTTTCTCGGTAGATAACATTTATCATTCATTTTAATGTTTTGCAGGTCTTATTAAAGATCCAATCAGTGTTCTTTTGCAGCTATCAGAGAAAGAGGCGTTTAACAAGGCCTTGCAAACCAGTTCCGAAGATCAGAACGAAACTACTTCTGCAGAAACATCTGTAATGCATGAGAAACTCTGGGTGGAAAAATATTCTCCTTGCTCATTTACTGAGCTTCTCAGTGATGAGCAGACCAATCGAGAGGTATTCTTCGTCTCTTGGTGATGATTCTGGTAAATTGGATGAATCAAGAATAGTTGAATGATTTTAGAAAGCGTCTTATTGGTTCTAGTAGTTGACCATTATTAATTTATTTGTAGGTCCTGTTATGGCTTAAGCAGTGGGATGCTTCTGTTTTTGGATCTGAAATTAGGAGCACCACAGAGGAAGTGTTGTCAGCTTTGAAACGACATTCTACACCAAGTCATCATAAAAAATCGGATTCATCTTTTACAAGGAAAAAACAGTTCAATAGATGGAGTAAGGAAAGTTATGGACATTCGAAAAATGCAGACGTGAGCAATAGCAACACAACCGATGATATTGACTTGTGGAACAAGAAGTCGAAACTTACTGGTCCTCCAGAGCAGAAGGTGAGCGATAAACTGATATAGACTAAGCTGCTTGTGGTTGTCTTGTATTAAAAGCACCAGTATGGACCAGTAGTAAAAATCTAATTTCACTGTTGTTGTAGATCCTTCTGCTTTGTGGTGCCCCAGGGCTTGGAAAAACTACGCTTGCTCACATTGCAGCTAAGCATTGTGGATATCGCGTTGTTGAGGTATTCTTTTTGAAATATAAATTCATAATTCTCTAGCTAAATTCTTGATCAATAGAATAAGCGGGAGGTATGGTGCAGCTTAATTCTGCTTATGGTTTTGCATGCATGCCACTGATTAATTTCCATCATTCCATGCTAGCATTCCTTAACTAATGGACTCTTCATCAATTTTGTTGCCACAACGTTTCTGTATGTGTAGGTTTCTTACTTCTATTGTTGTTTATTAGCTTAATTCAGCCTGTGTTATTTTGCAGATTAATGCTAGTGACGAGCGATCAGCATCAGCCATTGAAACGAGAATTCTTGATGTAGTTCAGATGAACTCTGTTACAGCTGATTCTAGACCGAAATGTTTGGTGTGCTTTACCTACTCTTTGTTCACATAGGACCTCTTTTTGTCATGTTGTTTGAAGTGGGAGAAGCTGACGATCATTTATGTAGGTGATTGATGAGATAGATGGAGCTCTCGGTGATGGAAAAGGAGCAGTTGATGTTATTCTAAAGATGGTATGTATATGTATGCTGGTACTGGACCCCGGGTCACTCGGGGATCTGAGATTTAGGTTAACTTTGGCGTGTACTTACTATCAACTCTCTTCTCGTTTACCTTTATATAACACTTTAAATTGTCACTCCTTCCCAGTTTCAGTAAATGCATGAAGGTATTTTGATTCTCGCAATTATTTATTAAATTTGAATTCTTCTTTTGGAGACCAATTTGTGATTGGCTATGTGTCAGCATTTGGTAGTATATAATCGTACCTTTGCTGCCTAGGTGTTGGCAGAAAGAAAGCATGCTACAGGCAAGGAAAATATAGAGAATGGGAAGACTTCTTCAAAGAAGGAGCGCCGAACAGCACCACTATCAAGACCTATTATTTGTATATGTAATGATTTATATGCACCAGCACTTAGGCCTCTGCGACAGATAGCAAAGTAAGTTCAACTTTCTGTTGGCTTGAGGGTCTCTTTTTCCTGTTTGCGTGATTTTCCTGTTTACGTGATTTTCCTATTTGTGTGGTGAAGCTAACACTTTTTTTCTTAGAGCATACTGCTTTCAAATGTTGAATTATCTTCAATACATGTTGACTATTTCTCTTAGTATGATGACAAGCGTCTATGGTTCTGTTGCAGGGTTCATATATTTGTTCAACCAACAGTAAGCCGTGTGGTAAACAGGTAACGGTTTCTTAGTTTATTGCGTGCAACGAAGCACTCTTTTAAGAGTTTATTATTTTGTTTCATTTTGGTGAGGGTAAGGCAATTTATATTAGTCCAACTGTCAGTTACTTGTAAGAATAACTTTCACTCATGATTGAGATATGAAATGATGCAGCACATCTCATTGCCATCATGGTTATCTAGTATTTTCTATAAAAACCAGTGAACTATATTCAAATTAAAGTCAATTTTTGTCCCCGACTTTATTTATCTATCAATCACCTTACTAGGCTGAAATGTGCAAATGATAGGCTCAAGTATATTTGCAATATGGAAGGGATGAAAGCAAGATCATTTGCTCTTACTGCTCTTGCGGATTTCACTGGTAACTTTCTCCCTTTAATTTGGTTCTTAGTGTGATCTATTGTCACGAGAGTTTTGTCCTCATATATTAGTATATTACTTGATTAACTTAGAGAAGAAAGTAGTCGTGTATTTGTTTCCTAAATCTGTTATCTTTTTGTCTCCATATTTGGTGGTTACAGAATGTGACATACGCTCTTGCTTGAACACTCTGCAATTTCTCAACAAGAGGAAAGAAACCCTCAATGTGGTGAGACTTTGATGCCCTTCTAGCACCTCTGTGTTTTCTGCTTTCGATTTGAATCACACTTCATTTGAAAATCTAAGTTTATTAGACTTTTAAACGGAGGAGAAAAACTACTTTTAAGTTTATTGTATACAAGACCTCCTATGAGCGTTCCAGTTACTTTGAAGTATTTAATGAGTTAATTAGGCCCATCTAGTTAGGAATACTAAAGCAGCTTTTCAATTTTTTTGTTCTTTAGGCAATTAATATTCTGTTTGGTTTTCCATTGTTGTCAAATTGAGCCTTTTGATAAGCTAAGTACCACCACTCTCTTTCTATTTTAGATTGACATTGGATCTCAAGTTGTTGGGCGGAAAGACATGTCAAAGAGTCTGTTTGATATCTGGAAAGAGGTACTTTAAGCTTGGTCAAATTGTCAAAGCACTCTTTACTTACAGATCACTTCATTTTATATCTAATCTTGCTTCTTCTCTTTAGATATTCACCACGAGAAAGATGAAACGAGAACGATCTACTGACGCTTCTGGAAGTGAGGCCAAAAACTTTGACTTCTTACACACTCTCATATCCAGTCGGTATGTACAAGACAATGGTTTTCTCTTTTATATTTCTTAACTTTCTGCTTTGTCTTTTTCTTCTTTATGCTTATGTAGTTAACTGAATCTGCCAGGGGTGATTATGATTTGATATTCGATGGCATACATGAAAATATTTTACAGCTCCACTACCATGATCCGGTGATGGACAAGACAGTAAGGCTAACTAATGACCATAACTGCTTTTTTCTGTATGTTTGTGCGGTTAAGCTCTGAAATAACATTATGATTACTCCTTTTAATTTAAAGATTAGCTGTTTGGACAGTCTTGGAACTTCTGATTTGCTGCATCGATACATCCTACGTACCCAGCATATGCCTCTCTACGGTAAAGCCTTTAAATCTCTAAATGATTACTGAGTCCTGTATATAATAATGTTTCCTGTTTACCTTGCGATGCAGTTTACTTTCCTAGCCTTGTGATACCTATTCATCGTCGTGTAGCCCAGATTCAAAAACCAATTATTGAGTGGCCCAAGTCATTCCACAGGTCATTTTGGTGTCATCTCTTATTGATTACGAAAGCATTTCAATCATCCCTGCTTACGTGTACTTCTCAATATCAAATGTACCAGATGTCGAACACTTTTAGTGGAAAAGCAGGAGTCTCTGCGGTCTTGGCACCACAAGATACCTCCGTATATTGGGAGGCATTTGTCAATCAAGTCGTTCGTAGAAGACTCTGTTTCCCCGCTATTGCATATTCTTTCTCCCCCTACTCTAAGACCGGTAGGTTTTCATCTATTGGCTGTTGAATTTTGTTTGAATTCTCTGTTCCCTTCATGGTTTACTGTGCCACCTTTCATCAATTATTACTGCTCTTCTAAGGATAACATCTTACTATGCTCCTCAGGTGGCATCACATTTGCTATCCGATAGGCAAAAGGATCAACTGGCGGGTTTGGTCATGCTTATGTGCTCTTATTCTTTGACTTATAAGAATGTGAAATCCGATCCTGTTCTGAGTAACCTCCGAGAGGCAGCTGCTTCAGATGCTTCGCTTCTTGCTTTAGATCCACATCTTTTTGATTTCATTAGTTTCAAGGTTTTGTTTCTGTTTCTTTGTCCCTAGTATCTGTCCACTAAATTCTACTTTTGGTGATAATACTCATCGCCTTTCCAACATTTGACAGGGTCACCAATTTAAACATCATGTACTTGCCTTAGCGATGAAACAAGTGTTGGTACATGAAGTAAGTCACATCTTCTTCCATGGAATATAGATTTTTGCGTTTAGCTGCGTGAAGATCTTGATTTTCTGGTTTATAAATAATTGTTAAAAACTCAGGTTGAGAAGCAAAAGATATTGCAAGCAAGTGGAGGAAGTTTTGGAATCTTGAACAAGCCCGAAATTAAGAAAATAAATCAAGACTTAGCGAGGAAAACCAATGCTGCATCAAATGAAAGTCAAAGAAATCCAGTTACCTCTAAACCTCCATTGGTCTCAGTTGGGATTGCCACAACTTCAAAGCCTAATTCTAGTGATGTGAAAAAGGCATCTCGTACTGCCCTTAATTTCTTTGACAGGTAATTGTTTGAGGGTTTGATGTCATTTTTCTCAACTTGAACTTCATGATATCCCATTCTTTTATCACCCAAAGTGGTGGATGAATAGCCTCATCTGAATCATTTTTAGGCAGACAGTTCAGTGTCATAAACCATGATCACATACTAATCGCATATATGTCTGCTAAGAACAGGTTTAGGAAGTCAAGGAAAGATTATGAAGATCCAGAGGATGTACAAAAGCGAGCAACTGCAAAAAGAGATTCACGACCTCTTCTCTTCAAGTTTAACGAGGTATGTCACACAACCCCAACTATATTGCAGCCAATCAAAAACTCCTCAAAAGGATGATTCTAAGAGACTAAAATTTTAGGAGAAATTTTCGAAGTATTGAGACTCATGTGTGTGCTTTATACGTATAGGGTTTCACAAATGCTGTGAAGAGACCCGTTAGAATGCGGGAGTTTCTACTATGATTCTGCAATGAAGTAAGTCTTAGATTGGTACATAGAGCTACACACGAAGCTAAGGAAGAAAGAATATAATATTGTGTAAATATGCTAGATGTGGAACATCTCACTGAGTTTTTCCCTTTAGAATCATATTTACTATATTTCACACAGTAGAGCTTGTATTCCATGTAAGACGACAGTAAACCACATCTTGCTAAGTTTCGTGATTTATAATCTTTCAGGGAAAAACTTTCTAATGGCTAGTAGTTGCCAGGATGCTACATAAGCATTGACTTTATCTTTCAGTGCATTTGAATGTACTAGACGTATCGGTCAAGGTCCTAAATCGGCCTGAGAAATACGAAGTTCAAAAAGATGAGAAGAAGAGGAAAACTAATAATAACCATAGGAGAGGAGGAGCTAGACCTCTACTATTTCGGTTTTTTTAGCCAATCAGAGCGCTCTATTTCACACCCACTCTCACAAAGTGCGCGTTGCGCGCGTGTCCCTAATTTCCGTGGGTTCTAACCCACCAAATCGCTTGTTTTAAAGCAAACTCGCTTCTTTTTAAAAAGGCCTCGCGTGACTCATTAATTGTTTTATTTTTCCAATTTGTACAGTATACAATCGAACCAAACTCAATTGTAATTTCAAAACTTTTTAAACCGAACTGAAATCAACTTTAACGATTTAAGAAGAGAATGTGAACGGAAAACCTATTTAATTAGTTGATTGAAAAATTTTTAAACCAGAGATTCCCAGAAGCCAGAACCAAATAATATAATCCAAGAAACTAACCTGGTTAACCAGCTACCAGTAAGCGTAAAACAGTTCACTGAAATTTAAAAATCCCCTGGTTTGTTTTAACGATTAAAAAAGTAACTGGGGTGAGAGAGGCTCGAACTCTCGACCTCAGGATCACTCAGTAGCTATGAGACCTACGCGCTAGCCAACTGCGCCACCACCCCTTGTTGATGTTTTTGTCCCAATAATTATTAAGTCAACTTTCTATAAGAGATGCTTGTTTTACAGCCTAAGAGGACAGAGTTGATTACAAAATGATCAATACATACATGTGACCGACCAATTACAGTCTTGATATGTTCTTAAATGGTATATTTATAAATGATTCTACTCACTATGTATTGTTAGAAAGTTGTTCTCAAGTCTCAAGTATTGTCCTGTTGTTGTCATGATTTATTCATCTATAACACATTTATTTGTAGCAGTGTTCTAATTTGTAAAGTCCATAGCAAGAGCCCTTTGTCAAAAGGCCTTATTTTCTTTTACAGATGTTGCGGAGCTCATCCACGCTGTCTCCTCTCTCAAACACCGCAGCTGCTCCCATTCCCGAACCTGCAGGTTTCCCAATCCCAGTGAGTGTGTGTGAGAGCGAGAGAGTGAGAGTGAGAGTGAACATATAACATACCTATGCACATTGACACTACTCCAAAACGGCAGTCTTTACCGCGGCGTTTCATCTCGTGCAGCAGTGTTGCAACGCATCTGGCACCTAAGAAAGTGTAAATAGCGTATGTTAGCTGAGGAACTCAGCTAGGAAATTAATGATATGTAAACAAGTAGAGCATACCTGTAGCGCCCAATGGATGTCCAATGGCTATGGCTCCTCCATTGACATTGATCTTTTCCGGGTTTATCCCCAACTTGTTGCGACAATAAACAAACTGAGATGCAAACGCCTAAACACACAATGGGATGTAAGGACTACAAGGAAAATAGTATGTGCAGTAGCATAATGCATGGAAAGAAGGGCTATGCTAATATCTTTACCTCATTAATCTCAAACAAGTCGATGTCATCAAGTTCTAAACTAGCCGCCTTGACTGCAGTAGGAATGGCAACAGCTGGCCCAATCCCCATGATGGCTGGGTCCACACCAACTGCAGCAAATGTCCTGTAATGTGTCCAAGAGTGGTTTTACTTAATGAAGCAAAGAAAATGTCAATATAGAGTGTCAAACCCACCTGAATACACCAAGAATAGGAAGGCCTTTCTCCATTGCAACACTTCTCCTCATAAGTAGAACAGCTCCTGCACCGTCACTTAATTGGCTTGAATTTCCTGTTTAACGCAAAGGAAGCAATGGAATTGAAAGAAGAAGAAAAGAAAAGATGGATCGAACAAACAATATTCTCTGCAAATGGACAATTAATTTAGGGACTGTACCAGCAGTTGTGGTTCCGTCTTTCTTAAACACTGGTTTCAGCTTCATAAGTCCGGAAAGGGTTGTGTTGGGTCGAATCCCATCATCCACAGAAACTGTTATGGGTTTCTCATCACCTGTCTTTGGGTCAACTATCTGAAATGTAAAAACAAAATTCATTAACTTGGGGAAAAGAGCACTTGATGCAGCCTGAAGAATCTAACATGCTCACAGTTGTTGCCAGATGGAAAACAGCATGTACCTTGGTTTTTACGGGGATTATTTCATCCTCAAATTTACCGGAAGCTGTAGCAGAAGCAGCTTTTCTGTGAGAATCAACCTGTACAATTGACTCGATAAACAAAGGATGGAGGGTAATCTCGAATCCATGCATTAGAACTGAGAAAGTTTATTCGAGTTACAGCGGCTTGATCCTGCTCCTCCCTTGAAATATTAAACCGGTGTGATACATTTTCTGAAGTAATACCCATTGGAAGAAGGCAACTATGTGCTTGTTCAAAATTCTTCACCTACACCAACAACAGAAGGCTTAAAATTCAACAAAGCCAATCAATACACTCAAGAAAGGAGGGAGAGAGACAATAAGAGCACGGTACCTTTGGGTTGACTGATCCTTTCCAACCCCTTGGATTGGTTGTCATGGACTCCAGTCCAGCTCCAATACCTGTATCCAACGTATTGGCAGCTCATATTATTCATCCCATCAAAAAAGATATAATTCATGCAACCAAAGGTATAGTTACTCTCTTACCAATGTCATAAAAACCAGCTTTTATGGCAGCGGCAACATCAGCGACAGCTTGAAGCCCAGATGCACACTGTCTGTTGACGGTTCTAATGGGAACAGTTACTTCAAACGGGACATAAGAGCATTAGCATACAACAAACCACATATCAAAGATTCCGGATTACATAATTATTACCATACTAGAAAAGAAAAGCTTACGAGGGAAACCAGCATAGAACGAAGCCATCCTGCATTCACTGGCTCTCTGAGATCCTGGCCCCAAAACAGTACCCACTACGATGTCACCAACTTCAGATGGGTTTACATTTGTTTTCTCTATCAATGCCTACCAAGAAGAAGAAGCTAGTACTACACATAAGGAAAAAAAAAAAAAAAAAAACCAGTAAACAGGAAATTGAATCAACATACTCTCAGAACAGATGCAAGCAACTCGTCCGGATATGTATCCTTGAAGCTGCCACGTTTTGCCTTGCAAATAGCAGTCCTTTGTGCCCTGTTTAATCATCACAAGAATCATAGAAGAAAGGGGCCGGGTTCAACAAGGTTTCGAAAGTTCTTGCACAACTAAATACCAAACAATGAAGAAAAAGAAAAAAAAGAAGGAAGAAGAAACTTAACGCGACGATGACAACATCATCTCCATATTTAGAGGTGTTCTGATATGCAGCTAAGCAAGCTGAGGGCTTGTGAGGAAACAACACACAATGCGGTGAATTAGAAATACATTGTAAAAACTCAAAAACACATCCTGAACCAAAATCAGCCTTGAGAGTTATGGTTCAGTTTAAAATTCCAAATCTCATGTAAATAAATAATCGAGAGCAATTAGCGATGGGAAATTGGGAAATCAAAGCTATGAAGAGGAAGAGGAGCTTACAGAGAGAGCGGAGTCGGAAGAAGACGAAGGTTGAAGATGCTGAAGCAGCACCCTTTGTCTCTCCATCGCTTTTTCCATTTTTTTTTTTTTTTTTTTTAATTTGTCCTCCAAAGCAAAACCGTTAATTTAAATTATATTTAAAAAAAAAAAAGGAAATAAGAGACCAAACCGCTTCATCCCGGTTTAGACTGGATTATATGGGTTAGAGTTTGGGTCGGTATAAATAAATAAAAAAATTCTCGCAACGGCGTCGTATAAAGTTTTAGGGTTTTAGGTTTGTGTTACATATTTAGATTCCTTCGTCTCTCGCTCTCTCTCAGAAAACACAGTCGACCGTCATTTTTTCGACGGCTCGAATCTTGTCCTCTAAATTAAACCCTAGAACGCCGTCTTAGTCTCCCTTCAGGTCGCCACTTCTCTGAGGTCGCCACTTCTCTTCATCTGTTCTCGACGTTGTAAGTCTCTCTGCATTCTCTATTCCTTTCGATTTCACTTACCTTTTGCTCTTGTTGTTTCGTTTTTATTTTTATTTTGGTTCTCAATGGTGGTGTTTATATAGGATTTTGCTACTGGGTTGTTATTTTTGATTTACTTAATCATTATGGATGATGATGATGATTGGCTGCTCCGTAACTTTGATGCTTTCGTTTGTTTTCTATGTCAAAATCTGTTTTTTTTTCCCTTAGCACAATCTTTGATTAGTATCTAATAATCGTTAAACTTATGTTTTATGATTAAGCTGTAGCAGTTTTGTTGGAATTCGTATGTTCATGTTTTTATATTTAATTTACGGATTTGTTTGTGCACAGATCGATAAGCGAAGATGGTGCAATACAATTTCAAGAAGATCACTGTTGTTCCCAATGGCAAGGAGTTCATTGACATCATCCTCTCTCGGACTCAGCGTCAGACTCCAACTGTTGTCCATAAGGGTTACAAGATTAACCGTCTCCGTCAGTTCTACATGAGGAAGGTTAAGTACACTCAGACCAACTTCCATGAGAAGCTCTCCACTATCATTGATGAGTTTCCTCGCCTTGATCAAATCCACCCTTTCTATGGTGATCTTCTCCATGTTCTTTACAATAAAGACCATTACAAGCTTGCTTTAGGCCAGGTGAATACTGCCAGGAACTTGATTAGCAAGATCGCCAAGGATTATGTTAAGCTACTCAAGTATGGTGATTCTTTGTACCGCTGCAAGTGTCTTAAAGTCGCTGCTCTTGGTCGTATGTGCACTGTTTTGAAGAGAATCACTCCTAGTTTGGCTTATCTCGAGCAGATCAGGCAGCACATGGCTAGGCTTCCTTCCATTGACCCAAACACTCGTACTGTCTTGATTTGTGGCTACCCTAATGTGGGCAAGAGTTCTTTCATGAACAAGGTTACCAGAGCTGATGTTGATGTCCAGCCTTATGCTTTCACCACCAAATCGCTCTTTGTTGGTCATACTGATTACAAGTACCTGAGGTACCAAGTCATTGATACCCCTGGCATTTTGGACAGGCCTTTTGAGGACCGTAACATCATTGAGATGTGCAGTATCACCGCCTTGGCCCATCTCCGTGCTGCTGTTTTGTTCTTCCTGGACATCTCTGGTTCATGTGGTTACACAATTGCTCAGCAGGCTGCTCTTTTCCACAGCATCAAGTCCCTGTTTATGAACAAACCTTTGGTGATTGTCTGCAACAAGACTGATTTGATGCCCATGGAAAACATATCTGAAGAAGATCGGAAGCTGATTGAAGAGATGAAAGCTGAAGCTATGAAGACTGCAATGGGAGCAAGTGAGGAAGCAGTGCTTTTGAAGATGAGTACTCTGACTGAGGAAGGTGTGATGTCTGTGAAGAATGCCGCATGTGAGAGGCTGTTAGATCAAAGGGTTGAGGCAAAGATGAAATCCAAAAAGATTAATGACCACTTGAACAGGTTCCATGTGGCTATGCCGAAGCCTCGTGATAGCATAGAAAGGCCTCCTTGCATACCTCAGGTGGTTCTCGAGGCTAAAGCGAAGCAAGCTGCTGAAATGGAGAAACGAAAGACAGAGAAAGATTTGGAAGAGGAAAATGGTGGAGCTGGTGTTTATTCTGCTAGTTTGAAGAAGCACTACATCTTGCAGCATGATGAATGGAAGGAAGACATTATGCCTGAGATTCTCGATGGTCATAATGTGGCTGATTTCATTGATCCAGACATTTTGCAGAGGCTTGAGGAGTTGGAACGTGAAGAAGGAGTAAGGCTGGCTGGAGTTGAAGAAGATGATACAGAGATGGATGTTGAAGAGCTTTCAAAGGAGCAGGAGCAGCAGCTTGCTGCCATTAGAAAGAAGAAAGCTACTCTCATTCGAAATCACAGGCTCAGGAAGACTGTTGCACAGAACCGATCTACTGTTCCAAGAAAGTTTGACAAGGACAAGGAGTACACAACGAAAAGAATGGGTAGGGAGCTATCAGCTATGGGGCTTGATCCATCTTCTGCAATGAACCGCGCCAGAAGCAAGTCTAGAGGGAGGAAGAGGGATCGATCAGAAGATGCGGGTAACGACGCAATGGACGTGGATGATGAGCAACAGTCGAACAAGAAGCAGCGTGTGAGATCGAAATCTAGAAGTATGTCAATCTCAAGGTCTCAGTCAAGGCCTCCTGCACATGAAGTTGTACCTGGTGAAGGATTCAAAGACTCTACTCAGAAGAAATCGGCCATTAAGATTAGCAATAAATCTCACAAAAAGAGAGACAAGAGTGCACGCCGTGGTGAAGCTGACAGAGTCATACCGACGCTTAGACCAAAACATTTGTTTTCAGGCAAGAGAGGGAAAGGAAAAACCGACAGGCGTTGATGAGACTAAAGAAGGTACGTTACCATTCTCTGCCACCTTTCTTTCAACAATAACTAATTGGAAATGACATGCATTGGAAGAGCTATTTTGTCAGATGATCATTTGATTATAAATTTTGATTCTTTGCAGAGAAAACAGATGCTGGATCTACTGATGAAGCTCTCTCAAGTTTTGGAATTTGCTTTACCAATTGTTATATTATGCACCTATTGTGGCTTTTCGCAAACACTTATGGATGATTATAGCTTTCCAGTGTAATCGTTTAAACAAACCTTATGGTCTTTTTGGTTTTAACTTTTTAAGAAAAGTTTTGTTTGAAAAGTTTTGGTTTGTTAGTGGTGTTGTACTATTGTTTAAGTTGAGATTCTGTTGAGTGCTGATGATCAAAACTTCAGTTAGTAACATTAAAATCACCTATTAGCATTTATTTTTGTGGTTTTTGTTTTAATTAAAAGAACAACACTCTGAAACGAAAAAGAAACAGCTCTATTGGTAACCATGATAGGGTTGTCAGAAGTATATCTCTTTAGATGATCGAGTAAAGTAAACATTTTCCTTACATTAAAAAAAAAAAGAATTTTGAAAGGGAACCTGTGTTTTACACAGTAGACCCTCAACTTTCTTGGTATACATCTTTTACCTAAACCGGTAAATTCGTCGATACTAATTTACAAACACCGCACATCTCTCACAAATCTTTACTTTTCCCATCTTCTTGTCACTTTCTTTCAGCCAATAACCCACCAATAAAAAAGAATCATGTACAAGTAAGGAGAGGGCTTTTAGGTTCGTCGCTTGGCTTGTAAGGTAACAGTCATAGAGCGAAGCCTATTAACAATCTCCGTGAACGATGGTCGTACTCCTGGATCAAATGACCAGCATTGCTCCATCAACTTTCTCCACTCTGCTTCACACCGTTCTGGCACAGGTGGTCTCAACGTATTGTTCACAATTCCACCTTTTTATTATACAATACACAACAAAACTATATCAGAAAGCAAACCTCAATCCAATCCAAGTTCTTTTTCTTCAAAGATTGTTTATGCTAGAAACATACCGATGATGGCACCACAATGCAGATTCGCGTAGGGTTCTTCGCCTGTCAAGATCTCCCACAGCACGATACCAAATGAGAAAACATCTACCTGCAAAACATATGAACATTATAACATGTAATAAGGACTACAAAATTTGGAATGTTTTGATTTTGGACTCAACAACATACTTTCTCAGAGACGCGATTACTGCTTCCGTTCAGCAGCTCTGGTGCCATCCATGGAAGGGTTCCTCTTACACCACCAGAGACAAGGGTATTTCTTTTGATTCTCGATAATCCGAAATCTCCAACCTGTAAATGGAACAGTATGAAAGTGAGAAGGAAAAGAGACAATATTTTACTCAGATAATTTAGCTTGAAATGGCAAGATTTTTGAGGAAAAGATTAACCTTGCAAATAGGTCGTTGTGGATCCCTCAAGTTTACAAGCAAGTTATCGCATTTAAGATCAAAATGAACAATATTTTTCATATGTAGGTATTCCATGCCAAATGCAGCATCTAAAGTTATCATCAGCTTTTTGCGCCTATCAAGTACTCTGTGCATATAGAGTCGCATCAGTAAACTCACAAATGTCCTATCGAAAAAGTTCATTCAAATATTTGGCAGATAATGTGTATGTACCTGTCTTTTCTCTGCAAAACATGTCTAAGAGATCCGTTCACCATATACTCAGTCACTGTTGCCATTGTTCCACCAGGTCCATCTGGTACAACTCCATAAAAGGCCACCACATTAGGATGGTGAAGATTCGCCAATATCCGAGCTTCTCTCCAGAAATCTTTAGTCTGTTTCCAAAAGACATCAGTAAAGAAATTATCTTAAAGTTTCAAAGACTCGAGAGAAGAGTTAAACCTGTCGTGCTTGCTCAGATGACCCACCAGAGAAACAACTATTCTTTATCCTCTTGATAGCAACATCAGTTCCTCTCCACTTCCCATAGTAAACCGTTCCAAATGTACCAGATCCTAACTCGTGTAAGTCTTCAAGATCAGTGTTTTTAATTATCTGTAAGCCATAGATTCCGGCTTCAATTTCAACCATTGCAGCTTCACTAAACGAATCAGAGTTGTTTCTGCTTTTCTTGTTCTTTTCCTGAAATATAAATAGAGACCAGAAAGATTAACCTTAAGCCGACACACATCAGGAAAGCCAGAACTTATAATCTATTAGGACAAAAAAAATTGCGTACCTCCATTGCAGATTCATGACCAGCATCTGTAATCTCTTTCTCCCTTGTGTCAGATTTGTGATCATCATCTGACTCACTATGTATATGAGGGACAATAGTAGCTGACAAGAGAGCATCCGAAGTTACTTCGTCTGTCACATCCTCAACTATTAACTGTGGACCAAGCACCTTGTTTTTGAAGAAATCATCTGATTCCTGCGTATGCATAAACGCAGCTTCTCTACTTCCCACCTTCCTAAGCGGCAAACCACTATAGTGAATACTCTCTTCTCTTGGAAGATAATTCTGGATTTCTGAATCATCACGTTTTGTCTCCAAATCCTGCACATTGTTTGAGGAAAACAGACTTAGACCAAAATATTGCTACCTTTACGCAAGGATTTATGTGAACTATGCTTACACGTCTCAGAATTATAGGCTCTTGTCCCACAGATTCCACAGGGTAATCTGTATTGGGTAAAGAGTAATCTGCTTGATCACATGATTTGGTTGTACTACATAATTGATCTGTAGCTGAAGCGTGGCTTCTGATAAGATTATCTAGTGATATGTCTTGCTGAAAACCATTAAATTTGCCTTCCGAACAATCGAGATGATTTTCGTTGGTGTTAACTGATAAAGAGAACACAGAGCTTCCTGAATCTTGTGAATCACTTGAAGTAACCTGAACAGCTGGTTGATAATTCGGACTAAAATAATTCGGACTGAAAGAGCTATTACTGTTACTGCCACCATGTTTCTTTGATGCCTGATCAAAAGAACCATGACTACGATCAGGGTCGATCCAGTTATTAGGAACGTTTTTGCTGAATTCGAGTTCTTTACTCCTCTTGCCTTCTGGATTCTTGAAATATATATCATCACTATCTTCCCACTTTGACGTTGCCACAACATGTAGTTTCTTTCTCAATATTTTCCATGGTTGTTTGGTAAATGCTTCTAACCCATTGTTGATTTGGCTCTCATCATGCAGCTGCGGATCAGAAAGAGCGTTTTTCTTAAGCCTCACTTTCTCGGCTCCCATATAACCTTGACCGTGGGGGTAAATATCGTCGCTTGGCCTCCGGTCATGAAGATTCATTTCTGGATGCTTCTGCATTTGTGTAGTAGTCTCAAACAAGAATCTACGTTGCTGTGGGTAGTTTGGAGTAACCAAGTAAGGGTCAAAGAAACCATTTCGATCAACAAAGTAAGGAACGTCGGTATTTGCTCTCTTGTGAACTGAAAAAGGAGATGATGGAGGAGATTGTTGACCAAATGAGTTCCTCGGAATCTGCATTTTCGGCAAAAAATGAACAGCATTCGTGTTCGTACATGGTTTCATGAAGGTTGGACTGTTGGAGTCTTTGTGTTCCCATGTATGAACAGAAGTAGGTGAGTCTCGGAGATGAAATGTAGGGCTAAATTCTGAAGCATTCCCAAATTGTGTTGTCTGACTTGTCCCACTTTGTCCGCTGGAACTCTTTTGAGGACTCACATCCACGACACCATTAAGAGCTGAAACATACTGATATTGATCTAAATCCGTCTGCTGGTGCGTGTTTCTGTTAATGTTCATATTCCTTTCATTGTAAATTTTAGGACTCTCTGATGATCCTGATGAAGGTACAAGGAAGACCCTTATCCTCTGAGATCCACCTTTTGTTTCAGCTTCTTGATACTCTTCAATCATATGAAGAAGATCCTCATCCGAGCAAACCGATATTAAGGCATCAAGATCTTCTCCTGGTAATTGGTACTTGATTGTATGGGGATGGTTGCACAAAGCATAAGTCTTGTGCATCAATTCTTTTAATCCAACATGTTTTCGTACTGAGACAATCCGAGTCTCCCCTCCAATGTATCTAAGCTTCCCGTCACCAGGTCGCTGTAAGATCCTTCCCCCGAAACTACAAAGTAGCTTCAATATTTCGGGAAAGTAAACATTTGATGTTGCAGTATGAAACATCTTCCGAGGTGAGTCTGCAACGTTTGATTCAGCTAAGTATCCACTCGAGGAATTCATACCTTCTGACATGTTGGACTCAACTCTCTGAAGCCCAAGAATTCTGTTGAAATCCTCATAAACGAGATGGCGATTATTGTGATTACCCTCAACATTTCTAGTAACACCACCCTGTACTCTTCTTTGAGAACCAAAATCCCTCAAAAACTCATTTGAAAACTCCTCTCCTGTCTGAGCACAGATATTGTCTTCACGGTTGTTATTACCAGAAGTGACTTCCCCATTGAACCTATCCCTACCTAAATGCTGATTGGAGCTGCCACGAAACTCCATTATCATATTCTATCAAGAACCAAAAGAAGGAAAGGAGAAAAGCGTACCAAAAGCCTTATTCTTTCTTCTACACAATCTCTTGTATCACAGATTCTGAGGAACCAAAGTTCTATTCTTTTAACTCCCCAATCTCAAAACAAAATCAATTATGTTCATCATCATCAAGCCTCCAACAAACATCTTCAGGCTTCAGGGTATATAGATCATACCAAATCAAAAAGAGACCATAGGTTTGTTCTCATACAAAGGTATTGGCCATTTTTTAGATGCAATTCCCCTGCATAACAACAACAACAACCAGAAACTAAGAATTTTTCTTCAATATAATAAATTTCATCTTTTTTTGCAAATGCTGATCACACAAACAAACCAATCGTATCTATATATATGAACAACGAGATAATCCATAAGACGAAAGGTGTTGAAAAACTGAAGCTTTAGATGAATTTGATTGATTACCTGGGGAAAAATGGCCAATGAGATAAATAAATAAAAAGAAAGGAGATTCTGGGTAAAAGAGAAGAATGTTTCTGGAGAATGAAGTTTTCGAAAGTTGAGGTTTTTGATTTGCGAGAGAGAGAAAGAAAGAGAGAGAGAGACGCAGCAGAGAAGCGCTCTCAAAAAAATAACGCGGGTGGGACGAACTCCAAAATTCTAAACTCTCTCTCTCTTTTTATTTTGGGAATACTTTTTTTTGTTTTCTATTAAGATTTCAGAATTATTTTTTGATGTTATTCGTTTTTTTTTTTACTTGAATCATGGTTGAAATCATCTTTTTATCTATTAATAATTTGTTTTATCTGATTTTTTTGTTTCTTTTAGATATTTCAAATAGTAAATTCATAAATTTGCATGTGGAGGTTTTTGAGGGAACGTTTTTACCTATTTTCTTACTTTATTTAGACAATTCTAGAAACCTTTTTTTTTACTGATCTCTTAGCTTTATATAACAAAAATAAAACAGAAATTCCAAATTTAGATTTTATTCGGATTGCACCTAAAAAATTATGTGCATTATGAATGTTATTAAAAACATGGTATACATACATAGTTGAGACATTATGTTGTGCACGTTGAGCTTTAAACACCTCCATCAAATCTTTTATATTATACTGTATAATAAATAATTGGCTCTCAACATTAGAATATAGCGACGAAGTATAACCAGAACCGTTTGATGAGATATTCAATATTATTGATGTCATATGACATATAGGCCACGCCAACTACAAGAACGCAACTTTAAGTTTCACTAACCATAAGAAAGACCGTTTTTAAAAGATGAAAACAACAACTAAAAGCATACATTACACTCTCTTTCTCTCTCTCTGAGTCTTAAACAATGCATAAGCTACCAAAGAGAACAAACAAAGCCAATACGAGACAACACCCACCAACAAACATCACACTGCTTCTTCTAATGTTTTCTTTTTCTTTTTGGTTTCCATATAACACTCTTTTCAAACTGATCCAATAGGGATGAGAGATCTCAGGGTTTTGGCTTTACCGATACGATTCAGGACGTTTCGGTTTGCTCTGTATCACTTGCTCGATCTTGTCCAGAACAGAAGGTGTCAGCAATGGGATAACCTCAACAGCTTTCATGTTTTCTTGAATCTGTGTAAGTGTACAAGAAACATAGAATCCTTCAAAAAAATTGGATTGAAATTTAGACTGAGACTAGCCCAGATAAGCGACTGTGGATTCAAGAACTAACCTGTGACTCCCTTGTGGCACCGGTGATAACAGATGACACATTAGGATTTGACGCACACCATGCAATCGCAAGCTGGGCTAACGTGACGCCTAGCTCATCTGCAATTGGTTTGAGACCGCTAACTTTCCTCAGCACATCATCCACAAGGGATCTGTTGGCAAGGTTCTGTGAAAGAAATCAAATCAAGAAATGTACCAGTAGATTTGTTAGATGCAGAAACAGAAGGAGATATAAACAACAAGACGAGAAAAGCGAGAAAGAATACTTTGTAGTTCTCCAATGCAAATCTGCTGTCTGAGGGAATAGCTCCCTTGTTGTATTTACCAGTGAGCACACCAGATGCAAGTGGACTCCAAGTAGTGAGACCTATGCCATGATTGGTGTAAAGAGGAAGAAACTCTGACTCTACCTGCATAGCGAAAAGAGCGTAAACCGAATCAATAAATATCCTGAAAATGATGCAACTCACTCAAAGCAGTAGTTTCAATTCAGGAAAATAGAGGTGTAGACTGAACAAGAAACAAGACGAACAATAAAATAAAATATTGAAGAAAAAGAGAGGAGAGAGTTGGAATACAAACTTTGTGCCTGGCAAACATGTTGTACTCTGGCTGTTCGACGATTGGACCGACCAAATCCAAGCGGTCTGCAGCTCCCCATGCCTCTGTAATTTGCTGCGCAGACCATTCACTAGTTCCCCAGTAGAATGCCCAACCCTTATCAATCACGTAGTTCATTGCCCTCACGGTCTCTTCGATAGGAGTTGAAGCATCCGGCCTGTAATAGATGACCCAATACACAAAGAAAAACAAATTACATAAACATATATCTCAGACAAGAAGCTAGTGACTTTTAGTAAAAATGGGGTTCCAACTGAATGAGTGGAGAGAGTCATGTACTAAATATATTAGTCCCAAAATTTTCCTGATGTGCGAGAATTCAAATAGTGGTAATAAGGATAATGCAAGAGATGCCATTTTTGGAATATTTCAGTCACCAAACCCATATCACAAAGATAGCAAAATGCAGATCAAATGGAAACCAAAGGAGAAATGAACAGATCCACAATGTACTAAGAATCTATGACTATCTAAGAATACTATAGAGCGATGAAGCTGGTTCCAAGACATTCATCTACAAATCTCTCAAACAGCAATGCTTTTTTTCATAATCCAAACAGCAGTCCGTACTGCAAACACATGCAAGACAATTCAACATAATGCATCACCTGAATAATTAAATGCATTCAAAACACATAGTACAGGATAATATACTATTTCAGACAAACTCATCTTCAATTTCAGAAAGTCTGACATATCAAATCAAAACTCCAGATCTTTAAGGCAGTTAGTGAATTCATAACCAAAAAAAGAAAGAAAAACAAAATGAACCTGTGGCAATAGAGGACATCGACGTAGTCCATATCGAGACGTTTGAGAGAAGCTTTAGTTCCTTCAACGATATGCTTCCTGGATAAACCCTTGTCGTTAGGACCAGGGCCACCCCAGAAGATCTTGGTGGAGACGACGATGTCAGATCGACGCCAACCAAGCTCACGAATCGCCTGGCCCATAATCTCCTCAGCGCGACCATTGGCGTAAACCTCGGCGTTGTCGAAGAAATTGACTCCATGATCACGGCAACACTGAAGGATCGATTTAGCTTCTTTCACATCGAGCTGGTTCCCAAACGTAACCCACGCCCCGAACGAGAGCGTGCTCACCTTCAACCCCGATTTCCCCAAATTCTTGTACTGCATGTTTTTTTTTCCGCAGTTATCGATTCAAATCTCTTTGATCTCTAATCTCAAATCTCACTCTCTCTCTCTCTCTCTCTATTATGTCTCCTCAGCTCTCAAGAGTACTTTCTTTGTAGAGCTAAATAATAAACGAACAACATCTACTAACCATTAACACAACTTTAATACGATAAGCTACCGGTTTGGTTCACCTTTTCCGGTTATCTTTGGTTATCGATATGTTTCTAGTTTCCAATACCAAAGATTGTATGTATTAATAAGAATCGTCGCCAGTTCAACATTCGAATATGATTTCTACCAACAAAATAAAACTAAACCGAACCTCGTGAATTTGGTTGTTCGAAATGATCCCGGTCGGAATACATTCCGGTTTAGTCCAGTTTGTTGTATAAAAGAATATGTGATTAAATTCGTGATCTCGTACTGCAGACTACACACTTAATTAAAGATGCTGATATCTCGTACTTAAAAACAAGCGTGATCTCCTTAATTTTTAATTAAAAAGAAGAAGAGAAGTTTATTTTCTTAATTTGGCTCCTAATGGGTCAAAGAATCCCATGTGAATGACTTTAGTGTAGTCTCCATGTACTTGATCGATCGTATGATAGACACGTGGCTTTCCTTTTGAAAAAGTTGCTCTTTTATTGGGAGAGTTGTGCTGTAACGAGAGACCTTTGCCGTATACCGTATACGAATATAGTTTCACGTCCTTTGTCACGTGAAAATGTCCACCTGTCACTCCAACTTTGGACTTTTCCACTCCTTCACGTTCACACCGAAACAAAACAAAGATCAATATATTTTCGGGTTGAATGTATTTTGGGCTTCGGTTCTATCAAAAAGGCCTACTAGAAGGCCCGTTATTACCTTACTCACTCACACATAAAGGCACATGAGATGTGTTGGATAGACAAGCAAGACGTCGACATGATAGATAGACTGTGTTTATATTGTTAAGAGCTAATTCCAAAACTTAATGATTTTGGCTGATAACCGTCAAATCTCTTGAAATGATGTTTTAGTTATGTATTTATGTTCATTTATATATAGTTTATGGGACGACGACATGTTTAATGCCATTTTTTAATTCTCTAATAAAAGGTTTTTTTGTAAGTATACATATCATTTATCCACCAATTGCACATATTTTTTTTAATGTCTGCATTATTTTGTAGCTATTTTACTGTGCTACCAAACAATTTTGTTACCTTTATATGAATTTTTATACTCTAAAGGAGTTGCATATGTATGTATCATTAAATTGCAGAATTTTAGGGGGAAAAAAAAGAAAAGATAAAGAAAGATTTTAGTAATAATGTTTGAAGATCAAGTTTATGATTAATTATGAGAAGATAATATAGGTATAGATGAGTTGATGACTTTTTAATGTTATTTGCTGTTTTGGTAATGAATGGGTTGGAGAAACAGATTGTGTTTGTTGCATGTGAGTGTGGGGTTTTTCGTTCGTTGCCATTTAAAACAAAACTCTAGTTTTATTGGCCACCGAGAAAGAAAAAAAACAAAGATCAAATTTAAAAAGTTCGCCAAAAACTTCCACCAAGGGTTGACATTTTCTCCTTGTTTTTTTTTTCTCGTACGTGATCAAATCCTAATTCAGCTTTTCTAGCCCTTTGCTTACATGTACCCCAATATTAATCATATGGTTTTTCTTGGAATGTTACAACATATTTGATAATCCAAACATGTGCCATCACGAAACCATGGTTCCACGTATAATCGTACGCCGTCGGATAAATTTTTAGCAAAACACATATCAACAACGAACATTTTTGTTTTACAAAAAAAATAGAATATATAGTTTTTACCTATGATAGACGATAATTATGATGGACAAAAGCTTTATTGTTACTACAAATTATTGTGTTTCGTCATATATATTCAGGTCCTGGTTAAAGTTAATTATGTACTCGGAAATAGTATAATATAGCAAAAAATTGTATAGTATCAAGAAATTACATGCATTATGAAGGTATATTATATATCACAGGATCAGGTTAAGTTCACGGGTAACGTCTTTGGAGAAGATTCTTATGATATCTTTAGATGTAATCCAAATTATTTTTCTATATAAGCTTTCCGTTGTGATATATATGTCTATTTTATATCTAAATAAAATTTGTGGGGATTGAATGAAACTCTCCATCTTTTTTTCCATTTTGATTGGAGAGGCACGTACAGTGAGTATTTCATGTGAGTCTTTTCTAACATTTTGTAGTTTATTACTTTATGTTTCTTGTTTCGTTGAATTTTAAAAAGATTTTAGTGTACTTGTCGTCGGCTAAAACTTCTAGAGAAAACGAGTAAATTAAGTGACAATATAGATTTCTATGCAGATTAGTAATGTATATGAGTCAAAACCAGGAAAATCCTTAAATCAATAGAGGTTAATTAATGTCTTGATCTCTAACCACTAGAAACCAAACCCCACATATATTAGAACTTTACCAATAAAACCAAGTTACGAGAGGATGATAAGACAAATGCATTGTCTTAATTAGCTAGACACATGCATTTTTCAGCTAAGAAAAAATGCATTTTTATTTTTATTTTAATGTTTTCATAATATAATGACACCGCATAGTTAGAAGAAGTTAATTTGACACGTCTTTATCGAACTTAACGTTGCAGTGACACGCTAGAGATCTCACATAGTATACGAAATATTTACGGAAGAACGTTCCAGCGTACGCTCGTCCGATCGAGAGGATAAAAAAAGAAATCTTTGGTTTTTTTTCTTGTGTGCAAATTTTGTCATTTAGTTTGCGATAAACAAAGACAAAAACAACACACAACTAAGATAAAAACAAACGACGTCTCTTCGTGGCACTAAACGACGACGTACCAATGTCGAGTGGATCCGAGTTCGCAACTATTCGATATTGTTGTAACGTTTGGGAGTGTCGGTGCCTCGGCTAATATGGTAACAAACGACAAATATCATATATACTTTGAATTATCCACTATAAACCCTATTTATATAGATACCTCAAATGTCGTTATAAATTTAATACAGTTACATACATTTATTGGATCGTAAAGATGGCCATTTTTCAAGTTTTGCATGGATTCACGTCAATCAAACGAGACGCTTACTTGTAGTAAAAGATGTCGATCGTAAATGGAATAATGACGGTTGCATGGACGATTGCACAGATTTGAGGATATATGGATCCATGCAATCGTACGTCCACTTCATCAAAGAAAGATATGTTCGTTAGCAAATTTGTAAAATTTGGCTGATTAAAGAAACACTATATGGTAGACTGAGTTAACCGGTTAATGTTTTCATGACAAAAAAAATCATATAGTTACATAATCGGATAATGGGTTCTTGCTGGTTTTCACTAATTAAGTAAGGTGAGGAGGTAAAGGAAAATTAAAACATAGTTGAAAGGATAAGTAAAAGAGAAGTGATTGGGAACCAATTTGACCCGCGAGTTTTGGCGTGAAACCAAACATTTCGCACCAGCAAGATCTTCTCTTTATTGTTTAGCTTTTTTTGCACTTTTACAAAAAGTAATTTGAGCAATAAAAAGTGTAACAAAAGAAAAGTTTCAATTATTACTAGTTACCCGCCAATCCAACTTCTCCCATGATGCACACACATGGTACACATCATATTTGTATTTTTTTTTCTAATACGCTTTTTTTTTATGTATATACACTTTACCAACAAAAAAAAAAAATCTTGGTTTAGTTAGTATATGATCATTTGATCAAAAAATAGAAGTATAAACATTCTAATTAATTGGTTTACAGATTCAGTTTACAATAATGATGTTTCTTCCAACTGATAAGAGAGATGACCCAGTATATACGTAGTGTAAGAAAACGGAGATGATCAGTATGTTAATGTGTGACCATATATAAATATATAATTTCACAGAGACACAAAAGGTTCTGACTTCTGAAACGTTTGATCGTTAGCATGACGTTAGATCATCATTCTGTACCCAACAAATATATACCACAACGTCGTACTCATGAATATGATCTTTCACTTCAATGGTAAGTTAGAAATAGTCAACTATTTTTAACAAATTCTTTAGAAATCAAACTACATGTATATTCTTCCGAAACCTAAAAAGTGAAAAACCTACCAGCTGTTTAGTATGTAGTCTACAAAATTAGTTGAGTCTTGAAGGAAAGATGGAAACTCACAGAGTTGGAGTGGGTTGAGAGACAGTCGTAATGTCTGCAGGATTCTTAGTTCAAAATCTTCGATTGGGTAGAAAATTTTGACTTTTTTTTAGAGTATTTTGGATAGGATAGGATATTTGGTGTATGATATCATGTGTACGTCCAAAGTTAATAGTAATGCTGGGGATCTGAGGGTAGAAATGGAATAAGAAAAAGCGTGAGAGAAAACAAACGAAACTTGACACTATGATGAGAGGAGTTTGGGTTGTTGTTGCATGGGAACATTATTTGTGCTTCCCAAAAGCTTAATACAAAAAAAAAATACCAAAATGTTAATCATTGGAGATTTGTTTTACAGTACAATCCACCTAAGATAACTTAATATCACGAGTAATATCATTATAAGTTCAAGAATCAAGGCTTTTTCTATTACAATTACAGCGTATATACTATACAGAGAGCTATCAGCTATGTATACTCTATATTGTTCGTCTTTTTTGTTTGTGTGAGGAAAACAAAAAAAAACAATTAATACCTAATTTTTATAATATAAAATAAAGGATTTTAAAGTTTATAAACAATTTGACAAAATTAAATAGGGAGGTGGTATATAGATAGGCACCCAGCTTCCAACTAATAGTGAGAACAGTTTGAAAATTCTAACTTGGGTAGTCAACGACCTCAAACGCGTCGTACTCTTTATCTTCTTCAATTCGTTTTTGTTTTGCTTTGCTTTCTAAGCCGTGATTACCGCCTCGGAAAATCATGGAATTTTTCACGGAATTTATAATTATAGTATACTTATAAATACAATCGAATAATACTATATATATATCACTATACCCGCTAATTCTGCAGGAAACTATGACAACTGGTTTCCGTGTACGGAAGCTCTCTCTCCCTCCCTCTCTTTGCCCGTATCTATCTTGCTGATGTGTC